GGGTTTGTGGACTGAGGCAAGCACAAATAATTATGTGCAAGATTCCACACTATCACATTAGTACTGCTACTTGGCGAAGAAGACGCTGCCAGCGGTCCGAGCTTAGGTTAAAAATGTTAAAAAAGCTGTGTTGGGACTTCCGTTATACCTTCCTCTGCACGAAGCACCAGGAACAGTGCTACAGTCGAAGAAGGAAGAAGTGGGTTGTGCAGCTTCGAAGGAGAGGATGGCAGAGGAAAGAGATCAATGGATAGGGCTTCTTTCAAAGGAAAGATATGGGAAGAAGAACGAACGAGAGCAGATGACCAACAAATGAATGCAAGAGAAGAGTCAGGGAAGGAGTAGAGTTTCAAGAAGCAGAGCTTCAAGTCCTGTAACAGCCCGAACGATGATCGATCGAAGGGGCAATTGGGTAAAAAAAATCGCGGAACACGGGCCGCGGGGTCGATCCCGCGGCCTGCTTTTTAGCGAAAACCTCGCCTGCGGTGGCCGCGAAGTTCATCTGCAGCGCCCCCAAACAGTAATTTTCGGCGGTGGGGTGCCGCGAAGCGCTCTAACCGCGCCCCCAAACATAGCCTAAGTAAGCTCATTTTTAGGTGTAAAAGGGAGGATTCAGTTTTCTGATAAAGAAGCAACAATTGTGAACTAGCACTTCTTAAAATCCAATTGCACCCTTAAAAAAAAGTCTCACAAGTCTAGTATGATGTATAACTCATAAGAGATAACAAATAAAGTTGATTTAATCAAATACTAAAAATTATCCGCTTATAATTTTTTCAAAGAAGTTATCTTTTTTGTTGAAGTAAATCTTTGAAAAGATATTTATTTCTCTTTTTTATTTTTTTTTTATTTTTATTTTTTGTATGTGATTTTATTCTCTTTATTTCTTCTCTTAGATTTTCTCTCTCATCCCAATTCTTATCAATGACTACTGAAAAACCATCTCAACATTGTCTTATGACTTTCATATCGATCATATTTCTCTGCATCAATTTTAAAGCCACCACTGCAATTCAACGTCGTTTAATTTTACAAAATCTTTTAACTAATTTTCAAGCTTTCACACAGTAAGCTTGGTAGCTGCCTTATAATGCGATTAATGTATGATATTAAGTCAATACCCAGCAAATTACCAAATTTATTTTCATGCTTTCACATAGTAAGTTTGAACCTATCTCACCATGTGGTCCATGCATGAATATTTAATCGATACCTAACAATCAACTAACACATTTTCAAGTTCTTCTACAAGAAGCTTAAAACCTATCTCAGAATGTGATTTGTGTGATATTGAGTCAATTTGTAACATTGAATTATTCGTTTTATCTGAGTTGCTATTGTTAGATGTGGATTTTTGAAGTGTTTCGTAAGTCTTGATGCTGATTTCTTGGGGATGGCATAAAGCTTGGATCTCAAAATTGTTGATTTCTTTCCTTATTATTTCCTTTAATCTATTTGTAATTGGTTTATATGTAGTTGAGATTTTGTCATGTTCTTTACATTGTAAGTTATTTTTTTTTTCAGGTTTTTGAATCTTAATTACATTGTAGTTTTACATTCATTCTTAGATATCTGTTAAGTCTCGGATTTTGATAATTTTTATATTATAATTTCGAATGAATTGTGTTTTTCTAATTTTGCATCAAAAGAGACTACTCTTTGCATAAGCTAAATGTTGGGATATTGCAAATTTTAACCTTGTGTTTTAATTTATTTATTCATTAACATTTTTGTGTCTCATCTTAGCTTCTTTTTGGTGAACCATATATCCTATTACATTTTGTGTCACTAGTTTACAAACCTAAGGCCAAGTGAGATAATGGTCGGATTTAAGAGATTTCAATGTCCCTTGCCAACATGGCAAACGATGGCTTACATTCCACACATAAGATGATCGAGTTTGTATCCATAATTTTAATTGAACAATAAGATCTCAACTTCAATTCTGAGATCTTCTAATCTTAATGATGTATTTATTTTCTGAAGTTTTTTTACAGAAAGGGTTTAACTTCAAATCATGTTCAAATATGAAGATAAATATACTTTGAGATTATTATCATTGATCTGGTTAATTTTTGGAAATCATAACCAAGCAATTCTCTTTATCAAAATTCTTCTTTGCACTCCAAGAGACGTCTCCATGGGACTTGCTTTTTTCCTATTATTGGTTGTAAATCGTGCAAATTTTAATTGGAGAGAATTTTGAAACCCCCTGGCCTCTCCTCCCTTCAAAACACACAAAAGAAAGCTAAAAACGCATGGAATGGTCACAAATATGTAGTCAGAGCTGCCATCCATCCATCCTTTGTAATAGGTTACTAAGATGGTAAATTTAAACATAATCAGAGTCCACGGAAAGCACGTCTCATATCATGTCCTCTCCATATGATCACAGTGAAATATGTGTGGATCACAATGAAATATGTGACACTTGCAAATGATGTGGCAAATTCTTTTTACATACTGGTTATAATTTCTAAAATTTGCCTCTAAACAATGATGATCGAAGGAATAACCAATTCTGGATGCTCCCAGTAACTAAGCCTATAATTTGTGAGTCATATGCCACTCAATATGACGTGCAACTGTCTATTAGCTAAACTTGACTTGAAGTTGACCCTTTTTCAAACTTATCATAAGGCCATGAGTTCCCTTTGGATAAATTAATCCATGTTTATTGATAATGATCTTTCAATTTATTAAGAAGATTAAGATTAGTAAAGGTTCGGTGTTAAATTCATGTATGACTATTTGCTTTGAGCTAATAATAGTGTATTTTTTTCTTCAATAAAAATTATTGAAACCAAAGCAAAGCATTGACTTTATGTTAGCATTTCAAAGTTCTCTCTCTGATTGGGCGGGTAATCAAATCATGATTAGCTTACACCTTAAGAAGCTTTGTGTATTTTTTTCCTCAATTCAAATTGTTGACACCAAAACAAAGCATGGATTTTATGTTACCCTTTTACAGGCCCTTTCTCTGGTTGGGTGGGTCAAGCAATTATGATAGTTTTCGCCCATAAGAAACTTTGAATTATGAATATAAAGTTCTCACTAAAGGTTGAGATTTCTTGTTAGCCTTTTATCTTTTATCTAATCATCTTTTTTGAGAAGTCAACACACACACACACACACTAACTAATGTGCATGGCCTGTTTCTACATATATGCCAAAGGCTAATCTTTTTTTTTTTTGAGAAGTCAACACCACACTCTCTCTCTCTCTCTCTCTCTCTCTCTCTCTCTCTCTCTCTCTCTGATTTATGTATATAAAGTTGACACACTTTGAATTATGAACATGAAGTTCTCACTAGAGGGTGAGATTTCTAGATCACACAAACACGTGCGGGTGCGCACGCATGTATGCACACACAGACATACTAATTTGCATGGCTTGTATATATGCTTACGTCTAAGGTTCCTTTACACAACTATATAAAAAATGTTAAGTTTTTTTTTTTCTATTCTATTGAAAACAGTGATATTTCTTTCTCAATTAGATTTTAAAATCACAAGTGTTAAGATCATTAAATAAAATTAAGAAATGAAGAAATCAGGAATCCAATTGAAATCCTCTAATATATCTTCTATCAATCTTATCAATGATCAAGTGTGGACGAATGAAGATTGCAAGGTACTTTCTACCATCATTTGCCTTTGTTTTGCCCAATTCAAAGTCTGCATTATGTTATTTATTATGGCAAAGGCAAGATTCAAACAAAATATCTTGAAAATAAATTTTTAGACAATTACCAACTGAACTAGATAACACTTATATAATCCGCATAGAATTAGTTTGGCCCATTCTAAGGACTGATATGAGATTGACCGATACTAGCATAAGATCTGGACTTTTTTCTAGGTTGTAACATGCACAAATTTATATTTTGTAGCTTGCAATACTATCATTGCAAGGCAGTTTGCGCCATAAGTTCAGTCCCAAAGTCCAAACTGTAATTATATGATAGTTTCCATTGCACGGTATGACCAATGGAACATAACTTGTGGTTGTTCATTTTGGGTATTTCTGCAGAACCTCAGCTTAATATATTCGAATTGACCGGCTTCTACTGGCAGAGGTCAGATAACTTATAAGCCTAATACATCATAACGAAATTGAGTTTATGGTGTCAGCTGTAAACCTTAAGCTTCTAACACCATAGCATTTCAAATTATTTTTATGATAACTAGTACTTAAACTTTATTGTATGACATTTAAATAGTTTTTAGAAGCCTTGCATATACTATTTATTATTGAGTTCGAGAGTTTCCATCATTATTGGGACACCTTGAAATCAGTCTTTTTATCAAGAAGAAAGCACTAGTCAATTGCATCCCAATAAGCATTCAAGAGAATGAAGCTACAAATCTAATCAAATGACAAGAACAATTTTAAATTAAATATTCTCTTCGGTTAAAACTCATTTCACATAAACAAATTTCTGCAGCTCTATTAGGTAGATAGGGATGTGTAACTAATGATATTGTGAATAAATGTAATGGTTAGTTTAGGTTGATTGATTGGTTAATATTGATGTCTTAGGGAGCCCTTCGAGTCTGTATACTTTTCATTACGGAGTGTTAGGAATCACTAAAAAAAATGAATTATGCCCTCTTTTCTTGAGCATTCTTTTCCATCTTCTTTCTCCTATTTGATACGAATCCAGGTTAGATCATGGCAATTCACATAAACAACTTTTTATTAATATAACCTTTATTTTTATTATTGCGTACGTCAGTAATATTTGTTACTGTTTATAGCTCGCTACAAGCTTCTAAATCTGGATTTTGTTTGACTCATGCGAAGGTAGAGGATATAAATTGAATTCACAACATTTTATTGTCTGCCTGGTTATAAATCTGCGATCATTTCTCTAATCCTTTCTTTCATTCAAAATTTGTTTATCCAAATGTAGCCTTAAGGATATGATGGATAATATCAAAGCTGTTTCTATCTTGGTGTTGAGCCGCCTCTAAAATTGTTATTATCCTTTAATGCAGCTGATGAAGCTTCTAAAGACGGCAGCGTGAAGGCTAATGCTGGTGATGATGCCGAGGTCAGCGTGCACACATTTTCATATCTGGTTCAGTAAATTACAGAAATCATGCCTTCTCAATGCTAACCTTTCAACTTTTTTTCTCTTGCAGTGAATTTGGAACTGGAAGCCCAGCCAATGATTCTGAAAATCTTCCTTGGTATGGTTGTTTTAGAGATTTCCAAGGCTTTCTTTGATTTTTATTTGCTAGGCTTGAACATGCTTCTGTTCTGTTTGCAAACATTTTCTTTTGTATGCATCTTGCCCGACAGCACTACTTTACTAAGCTGCCTGCTTTAAATTAATTTGACGCCTCAGGTGTTTATCAAACCTTGAGGTCAGAGTAATGCCTTTCTTTTATGTGTGCTTGAAAAGAATATGCGTTTAGTCTATGAATAGCATTACTACTGAATTACTTTATGGTAGTTTGATGGCTACATACGCAATAGCGTTTCTTTAGTTTCTGATGATTCAGGCCGAAGACCACCATGTTATTTAACATTGTTATGGACGAGCTGCAATTTATTAGTATTCTTGATTTATGATATTTTGATTAAATTAATGAGGATATGCTCATGTTCAGGCCCTCATTATTAACTAACCTCTATCTTTTTAAGATGACAATTTAACTGTCTTAGGGATTGTATTATAGGAAGCTAATTCAATTAGCCTTTTAAATTTGTATGATGCGATTTGTGATAAGACTCTGCATATGTTTGAACCATATATATATATATATCTATTCTATTGAAA